CAGGATCTGCTTGACGAACGCAGGTCCTTGAACGGTATTGCCCTATAAATAAGTAAAAAACTGAGGATGACTCAGTAAAAATATTTTTAAACTGCACTTAAAACTCTCATAACAGTTGAAAAATACACAGTACAAAACAATACACATCAAGCGGAGTAAATAAGTAATATGCATTAATTATGAGGAGGAACTACTTTATGAAGCAAATTAATGTATACAGGTAGGCTCCGCCCCACCTGCCCCTATGCACAGGCCACCACTGCTTCAAAGTCAGTTCAAGTCCAGATGGCCATCCCAGCAAACTAACTTAGGAAAACACGTAAATGGACATGCGTCAGTTGATTTTTTTTTTTTTTTTACAAATATTGAGCTAAACTTTAACATAGTAGCTGAGAGTCATTCACAACACATACTCTGAGCATCTTATTGCATGAGGTTGTGGGAAAAAAATATTTTCAAGATTTGACCAAAATGGTTAGAAATGTTATTTCCCAACATAAGATGATGATTTGCTTGAAGGAATGTTGGGACATTAGGTTGTTACTGTTTGACGTCTGCAGTCAGAACGAGCTCTCACCTCGTTTGTCTTGCTGTGGTCACCAGAAGAAAACCAGAAGACTTTAATCAACCATAACAAATACCACAAAACACTCAAATTAGTACATTTAGATGTACATTATTTACATTTAAATCTGTAAAGTGTATTTAAAAACCTTTATTTCCGATGACTCGCTCTCATTTGTTTGTTTGTTCTTACTGTAAAGTGTCCTTGGGTGTCATGAAAGGCGCTTTTTAAATAAAATTATTATTATTATTATTATTATTATTATTATTTATGAACGATTGTTCATTTCCATGTGCTGCAGCTGATCCCTGTCCTTCAATATTTTCTTCATTTTTAAATAAACAGAAACTTTGTCGACTAAAATAATATGACTGTGTATTTGTGTTTATCTGCAAGCGTCTTGTGTCTATTTTGCCCTTTCACTTAAAAACATAATCAAAAAGACTCAGCATAGTCCAGGCAGTTGCCATGGTGAGGGTGCTGCTCGGTGTTGTGCCCGTAGAGCTGCTGGGTTTATCCTATTACCTTAGGTTGGTGGTTTCTCTTTTATTTAAACTACAAGATGTGTAGTCTTTTGCACGTCTTCTTTCAAATACCTAATGTAAAAGCAGCAGTGATTAAAAAAATGTATGTTTTTAATGATAAAAAGGGACCAAGTTCCAACATTTTCCCCTTTTATTAGAACTGAAACTGCTCGGAATAACTCGTTCAAATAAATATCTGCACTAAAATAATTGCATTAATAATAAAAAAACAATATTAATTCTAACCATTCATGTTTTCTTCATATATATTTAAAATATATGTATTTTTATATATCATTATTATACAATTGCATCCTCCTCCTACATTCTTCAAGTTATTGCCTCAACTTTAAAATTTTTTTTTTTAACAAAAATCAACTGGGCTGTAATTGATTAAATATTAGTAGGATGTTTGTTTGGGAAGAAGTCAGAACTGATCAAACCTTTTCAAACCTAACAATTGAAATCAAAATACAAAGTTTAAACCAACAGTGCATTTTTCTTTCTTTCGCGTGTGCTGTGTTTATTGTCCACTAGGTGTCGCTGCTGCCACTGATCTCTGTCTGAAGCAAGCAAGTGAGAAACACAATTTAAACTGAATTGAATTGTAATAAAATGTTGGATTAAAACACTTTCATGACAAGTTTTTGTTTTATTTTATAGTCTTTTGATTGTGAAAGTTAGGATTTTTTTTTAAATATCTGTTTCTTTTTTGTGTAGAATTATGCAAGACCTTTTTATTTTGAATGTAATAGTGTAAATCTATATTTTCTTTTAAGCCATTTTTTCTCCTTTATTTTTAGACGTGTAGAATTCAATGTCTCCTGCTTCAATGCTCAGCGTCCATTAGAGGCACATTAGCCAAGAGCCTCTCACCATGGCCTCTTGTGCTTCACAGGAAGTATGTTTTAGTTGTTCTCTCTTTCACTCAGCACCTTTCAGAGCTTTGCTCAGTGAAAGAACTCTCCTGTTATTTTCTTTTGTGAGGACGCACAGGAGGACGCAGCACCTGCAAGCAAGTCCACCTCTGTTATCCTGTTCACCAAACCGCAGCATAAAATGCTTCTGCTGCAGGGATCAGCAACTGGTGATCCATGGGCCAAACATGGGCTGCTAGTAATTTACTGAAGGGTGAAAACAACACGAGAAGAAAAGAACATGTGAAATGGTGTTTGATGTTTAGTGTGTATTTTTTACAAAACAACCCAGAAACTAATGAGGTTTAAAAAAATAGGCTAAATTTGACAATTCTGTAGCTTATCCATCCATCCATCCATCCATTATCTTTACCCGCTTATTCCATTTTGGGTCACGGGGGTCGCTGGTGCCCATGTCCAGCAATCACTGTGCGAGGGGCGGGGTACACCCTGGACGGGTCTCAAGTCCATCACAGGGACACATAGAGACAAACGAGACAAACAATCATTCACTCTCTCACTCTCACCTAGGGACAATTTAGAGTTACCAATCAGCCTAACATGCAT